GTGGTGTGGGCTTGTCTCAGGGTGGGAGGGAATGTGGCTGTGAGATTCCTGCAGCCATCTCCACTGCATGGGCCCACTGCATCACCAGACTTGCTGACCTGGTCCTGTTCTCTAGGAGCCAATATGCGAACAGAATTTCGACGCCTACGTGAGCACCCTCACTGACATGTACTCCAACCAGGAGTGCTACCAGGACCCGGAGCACAAGGACCTCTTGGAGAGCATCAAGCAGGCCGTGAGGGGCATCCAGGTCTAACCATGCTGTCCTGAGGGGCACTCCATCCTGGCCTTCACTTCCTGGTCCTGCTCCTTGGATTGGGGATTCCAAACTCACAGGGACTCACAGTTGGCCTGGCACGGCCCCAGCGGGCTCATCCAAAAGAAATCAGTGTCTCCCATGGTGCTCCCGCCAGGCTTGGGCCAAGACCTCTCCCTGCACCTTGGGGACACCGAAGTATTACAAAGTGATTTATTTTTGTTTTCTGAAAGAAATCCGAAATGCAGCTCAAAGTCTCCAGCGGAAGCTCATGGACAAGGTTCTCAGGGAAGTTTTGGAGTTTGCAACCACAGTATTCCTTTGTCTGTTGAGGCCGGGAGGGTAGCCGTGGGCACAGAGGGTGGATGGCGCAGCGGCTTGTGTCTCAGCCCAGAGGATGTGCCTGGAGCTGTGTGTCTGTGCTGGGTGAGGGCCCACGTGGCAAGTGTGTTTTCTGTTTTCCTTTAACTCATTTTTGTGTTTATGGTGGAACAGAACGCTGTTCCAGGGGGATGGTTAGGAATAGGCCTTCCAGATGATCACTCCAGGCAGGTGACACCTTGTAGTCCAGTCAGCTTCTGGAATTTACCCTGGGATGCTCCTGAAAGTCAGCCTCATGTCTGAGGGCAGACAGGGTCCCAAGGCTGCTCACATGCATGGGCCTAGCATCCAAGTTCCCTCCTGGGCTGCAGCCAGACCCAGTGTCTGACTCGATGCTTGGGGACAGCCCGACCAGTCCACCCTGGCTGGTCACTGCTATGTGAGCCAGGTCGTGGTGTGGCTTTGCTTCTGTGTCTACAAGGACAGAGGCAGGGACCGAGTCGTGGAGGTCGGGGTATTCCTAACGGAGACCACCAAGGTTTCGCTTCTTTTTAGACCAATTCAAGATGCGAGAAAAGGTAGATTTTAATTTAACGTGTTAAAAACACCATGTTCCTACTGTGTAAATAGAGTCTAAGTCGATTCTGACTGCAACTCTGAGTTAGTATTTAGAAGTAGAGAGATTGCACTTCTTGGAAGAAATTTAAAAGTAGTTAGTTTAATTATTCTGTAAATTATTTAATTTTGTCAAGAAATAAGTATTTATATTCACAACCTCTTATGTTAATGTTTGTTATTTATTTAACATTTTTATTTATTACTTTATACTATTTCAAGCAGACCCCACCCCAGGGCACCATAAGAGAGAAGTGAGTGAGATCAAAGCAAAGCAGCCATTGGACTGTAAGATAGGCCACAAAAAAAATCTTGATATAACTTCTAGTTATAATTTTGATGCAGCCAAGTTATTTTTTATATATTTTGTTATTTATTCTTTTAATGATGGAATTTTTTAAAAAGTATTTTGTAACTGAGGAACTTTGATAATTTGGGAGTTTTTCCCCTCGGTCCAACAGAGAGAAAGACATTCTGCTTTTCTTTTTCCCTTTCGGTCCTTTATGTTTCAGGCACGGGTAAGAGCAGGTGGGACTCTGTGTTTATTATTTAGTGTAGCACAGATGTGTGTGCTCTGCGTGTTTCTTGTGTCGCGTTTGTGTCAGTTCTTACGGCTGAGTCCTGTGCTGTGAGGGAGTGCCAGTCCGGCCCGCTCTGAGCAGCGGCTGGGCCCC